GAGTTAAATTGTTTTGAAAAAAATTTTAGAGTGTTATAGCTGGAGTTGGAGGCAGAGATATGTCAACACAAGCTCACGATCTCGAAGGAAAATGCTGGAGCTTGGAGACAGCTCAATTGGTTGGAACAAATATTTTGTTCCACGAGCAGCAGTAGGACCATTTGGTCCAGTCTGATTTCAACAACACTAGTTAAATTACATTATATACATTCACTTGAATCTTCAAACCAAGGTCGGTTGCTATTAACTTGAGGCACATAAGTATCACATGTATTTTTGGGACATCAAGAGTGTGACCGATATTTTTGAACAATTAATTTCTAGTAAAGTCCAATTGTGTTGTGCAAATTTCATTTAGTGAGATAATGCTTGTTATCAAGAAAGTTTAAACAATGGGCCCCACTCATCCCCCATTCCACCCTTACTAATTGAGCTAGCACCCAATGGCTAATATTGTACCACTCTCAAGTGTTTCTTGCACAGGGTGGCTGTCACATTTGCACAAATCTAACTTAAGAGTGCTTACTAGAAATCCAATATATGACTTTACATGACATTCACTGTCACTTCTAAGTAGGCATAAAGAATGCAAAAGCATAACTGAATGTCCAAAATGGAATTTTCGTTCTTGTTAGCAAATTCCTGGGAAGCTATAGCAAATAGTGATATTAGGTATTTGGACAGTAATCTAAATGGCATAGTTTGATCGTTGATCAAATAGTGAATATTAGGTATTTAGACAAGTATTCAAATGATTGGTTATTATTTTAGTGATTTATTATGCTAGGAGTTTTCCTGTTTCTTCTTTTTATCAGGACGATCATTTAATGTGAAAGTTCCCACCATTGTTTTTAAACCTATAAATAGAAGTTTGACGATAAAATATGAATTTAATCAAAAGAAATAATAAACACAAAGACCCACCACTTACTCTGAGCCTTTTTGAGCATAAGGAACTCAATAAACACACCATCATATACGAACACTCACCATATACAATAGCACAGAGGAGAGCACGTGAGAAGGAACGAACGCAGCCAAAAGGGTGACTAACCCTCCACCGACAGAACACCACACGCACAAACAATTTCATTGAAGTAAAATAGACGAAAATCCACAGACCTGATTCTATTAACGACGAACCAGTACTGCAAGGAGGAGAAAATATCAAGGTAACGGTAGCAAGACAATAATTAAAGCACTAATAAACTTATTTTATACGAGAAAGCATATATCAATCGGCGGACACACTTAGACGACAGAGTCGATCAAGGCCGGGTTGATTTCATCGAAGGAACACGACGAGGGAAACAAATCAGACAACTGACAAACGAATACAGTAAGAGACGCTAATGGCAACCACGCCGATGACCACGAGACTAGTGAGAAAGAAAGCAGAATCCGATTCCAGACAATCAAAACTACAAGTCCTCAAGTTCGAATTGGGCTTACTCCGTGAAGAAGCCATGGGAGCTGGTCCTCTTCCTCAGTCCTTCTACTTCCCCCAGGCTTCTGAAGGATCAAAACATTTAAATTACCCATTCACACTCCAATCTAGCCAGCAATTAGACCTATTCGTCAAATTCCTCCAAGGGAAAGACAAAATTAGAGATGATTGGAGTTGATGGTAGAGAAATTCGGTTACCTAAGGACGGAAGCCAGTAAGATCCAAGGCAAACCAATGTCGCCAACCATGGAAACATCAAAATGAAATGGGGAGCGGTGGAAAAACAAACACCATATCCAACGACGTAAAAGAGTAGACACGTGATAGCTTGGGAAACGATCTACGAAATCAAGCAACGAGAGCTCCTCCCTTGCGGTAATTTTCATTATCCGAAATTTTATTTCTTAAAAAAAAATTTCTTAATAAATATAGAATCTAAAATGAAAAAAAAAAATTAACTCTGAGTTTTTTTAATGCGTGAACACAAGGATATGGGAGGAAAAATTTGAACTACTTCACCGCCAGTGGAGGATTGGAAGCTGATTAACTTAATGGGAAGTTGGAAACAATGATACAAGATTAATCCCATTCATCTATTGTGCTGGTCATCGAAAATTTAGAGTTTATATTGATAATTCTTTACTTATTTCAATATTACATGTATAAATTAGTTAAGTACAATATTGTATTGTCGTCACACAAGTGGCTCCGACGCAAGTGGTTTCTCTTTTGGACAAACCGTTAAAAATACTTAAAAAATCATTAATCAAGAATATTCAGAGATTTAAAATAAGAAAAAATTTATGAGTGTTCATGAAATTACTTTTTTTATACATATATGACTAAATTATTAAATTTCAGATCCAAAACATAACGATCAACATCTGTAACTTTTAATAGTTTGTTCATGAATGTATTGAAAAGATAACTTTATGAACACTCATACATTTTTTTTTATTTTAAACTATTGGATGCCTCTAGTCATGATTTTTTGAATGCTTTTACCATTTTATCCTTCCTTTTTTGGTTATCTTTTTCCATTCTCATTAGTTACTTTTTTATATATATTTATTTGATTGGGTCATGTTCAAATATTATTAAGTCATTTGAATGTAGTTATTTCAAAAACATTTTCTATGTTTATAAAAATTCAAATTTAAAATATTATGCTAAAACGGTTATAGGCATTCTATTAAAACGAACCACAATTGGTTCCCCTTCTATTCTCCCGCCACATCTCAGTAGTGTTTTTTTTTTTTTTTTTTGCCAACAATGCATCCCACTAATTTGATAAAGATAAAACTTGAAATGATAGCCCATTATTTATTTTCGCAATCCATTCCTCTTAAACTCGACATCTCACAATTTAATAGTTAATCAGTAACACTGTTTATGACAAATCAAATGATTGTCCCAAAAAAAAATCAAATGACTTTTATTATAATTAATGATATTGGTCATCAATAATAATTCGTTCTTTAAATTTTATAAAATACACAAATAAGTCTAGAGGGGCTAAATCTAATGAAAACTAAAATCTATGGAGTATGGCATGGACCACTTAGTTAAGTGGCTTCTTGTTTCTTTTTAACAAAATCTCAAGTTCAAATTTTATAGTTGAAAAAAAAAATCTATTAGCCTAGTGGGTGTTACTTCTGGTGTTTGATTTGATTCAATTCCAATTAATCAAAAATCAATATAATTATAAAAACTGACGCATAAAAAAATATCATTTATAAAAAAACTGCATTATTTAATTTCAACTAAGATTTTTATTGAGAAAAAAATAGGAAGAATTACTTTTACATTCCACATAACATCTTAAAATCTTTATTTTTCCCCTCACTTCCTCTTCATTTCTTTTCTTTTCTTTTTGAATAAAGCAAACGTTATTCTTAAGTGATTGTAAAATACAATCATCATTTAAGGTTGTACTTTTATCAACTATCACCTCCTGTGGGAAAGAATAAAGCAAACGTTATTCTTAAGTGATTGCAAAATACAATCATCATTCAAGGTTGCACTTTTATCAACTACCACCTCCTGTGGGAAAGATGGAGGTTGATCAAAGGTATAAAAATTAACATTCAAATTATGAGAAAGCTTTACTAATCTATTAATATAAAAGTTACAATTTCTGTTAAAATGGAGTGTTAGTCTTCACTCTCTACAATATAACAACCTACCTCATCAATGATATCTTTGAAGCAGTGATCATCTTCACCACCTTTTTGAATGAATTGGCTAGCTTTAATATAGTCATTGTAGATATTCACATCCCTAAACTTGTAGAACCAGCATAGTTGGAGGCCCTAAATAATAGCTAGAACCTCCACAATCACAGGGGGAAACAACTTCATCTTCGTTTCCCATCTCAACCTTGAATCAAACTTCAAATAGTTTGAATTCAATATTTCACAAAAAATTATTAAAATGTGAAATTATAAAATAAATAAATAAATTTGAACTATAAAGATTGATCTGAATTACAGTTTAATTAAAAAATTATTTTATACAATATTAAATTCTATCCATTCAAAATTTGATTTAAAAATTCAGATAGAAAGAGGAGAGAGTAGAGAGAAAAAAGAAATGGAGCGAAATCAATTATTTAGATACAATAAAGATTTTGACAACTTGAAATATCAAATTATCAATATCTTATATTCAAATTGTCATTAGGCTTAAAAAATAATTTAAGGTGTTATGTGAAATTTGAGATTAATTTTTTTTAAAAAATATAAGTATTACTTTTTGTTTGAAAAAAAAATTCTAAAAAATTCTAAACATGAAAAATAAGTTATTGATCGATAAAGATAAAGTTGTTGGTGGTGAATGAATAATATAATAGTTGTTTGGTGAGAGTTGGAGGCCTCGATCAACACAGTGAGTAATTTTTTTAACTTCCCATAGATTTCATGGTCTTAACGGCTTAATTCTCCTAGCTACCTCAAGCTTTAGAGCCCTTAGATCACAGTTTAGTTGCAGATTAACATGTAATATTGCTTTGTCTATGAGTTTGTTGAACCGAACTTTAAACTCAGCTAGCGATCCCATTTGTTTTAGTTGTGCAAGCTCCTTCATCAAGTCCTTATCTCGACATGAGTTGTACTTGAGATAATCATCCATTCAAACAGAGATTCCATAAATTCAATTGTGCAATTCCGTCACTTAAAATTGTAAGTCGTTTATACCGTGAACCTAACTATCGTTGAATGTGGCAAAAGAAGAATCACTGTCAATCGATGGAGCGGCCTGCGTCTAATGCCATTGATGTGGCACATAATCGAAACAAGGCAGAAAGAGAGAAAGGACTCACAAGATTAGAAGAGGAAGATGAGAGCATTTGAGAGAAAAGAAATAGAGCGACCTCATCACTTTTGTGATAATTCGCAAATGACCTACAGCAAGAGAATATAAAACCAGCATGGGACAACACCAGTAAAAAGACAAAATAGTCCAACGTAAGCTACTAACAAAGACATAACTATCCTCAATAGAAATATGACTCGTATAAGAGGAATCGCGAGAATTTCAATTTTCAACAGCTGATTGAAACTCTTCACCGGTAACGATAAAACAATCACTGACGCAGCCCCAAAAGCAGTTAGAGGATAGAAAGGGGTAGGAAGAGGTTTCTTTCTCTCTCTCTTCTTTCCGGCTTAGGAGAGAGAGAGAAAAGAACCCACGACCACGAGCAATCCATCTCCCCTAACATCAATTATTCTTCACGGAGTAAACTTTATTGTTAATTAATTGACGTTGGGTTGGGTTGGATTTTCTTGTTATTCGGATGAACTAATTGATTTGTTTTGGGTTTTGGGTACTGTTCTTCAACATGTTGTTGCCTAACACTTTCGATCTCTGGCAAAAGGATGCTTTCTTCTCTGCGGCCGAGGAGGTCCAGGAATCAGCTGATAGGTATCTCTCCGGCTGGATTGTTTTTAGAATTTTGTTTTCGATTAATTACGTGATTCAGTTCTGTTTTACAAAAAAGTATGCCCTTTTCTCTTAATTTCTTGGTTTTCAGAATGGAATCCACATACAGGACATGGCTAAGAGGGAAGAGAGAACGATCAATTCCCAAGTACGTAGATGAACTATGTCGGGAGCTGCAAACGTCTTTGGGTACTGCAAAATGGCAGGTACGTTACTTTTCTTTTTCATCTTACTGTGAACCTCCTCTTCTATTTCCAGCGCTCAAACTTCTTTCAAAAAGTTTCCTATTGTAGATTCTCTAATTAGTTGGTCATTTTCCATTGTTCCTACCTTCAAAGCTGAATGTTCATTTTCGACTTTTTCTTATTTGTAATCTTCTGTTTTGTACATGCTGTAATAGTTGGAAGAGTTTGAGAAGGCTGTCAAGCTAAGCTACAGGCATCTTGATGATGAGAATGCAGTCACTAGGCATAGACAATTTATTTCGGCCATTCAAAACCAAATTTCCTATGTTGAAGCAGCATTAAGAGAATCTTTTATCGAGGAAGGAAGACAGCCCTTCCGCTGGGTTAATCTGGATGAAGAAGAGCGTGATGATTTTGCTGCATTTTTATCTGGAACCTCTCAGAACATGCAGACCCCTAAGGATGAATGCATGGAATTGGCTCCTTCCGCGAAAAATACACTTCACGAAAAAGAGATCAACAAGAAAGACAAAATCCATGATGTAAATGCTGCCTGCAATGGAAATATCTTTAGTGACCGAAAAGCTATAAAGGATGTCATTGCCATCAACAAGGATGTAAATTACGTTAGAGAAATAAAAGGAGATGAAGTTTCTGGAAATAGTGAGGATATAGTTTCTCAAGCAGACAGAACAACTAATATAAGGAAGACATGTAGTTCCCCAAAATTTTGGGAGTTAAAAATCGTAATTGCTGATGAAGATGAACAGAGAAATAAACTCATGCATACTATTGATGGAAACTCCAAAGGAAAAGGGTTCAAACCTGGCTTCTGGAAACACAGATTTGAAGAATATCCTCAGGCAATGCGAGCGGTACACATGTTCAATCAGGTTACACTAACTAGCTTTAAAAAAAAAGAGAAACATGCCAAAGAAAGCAGGAATTTTTGTTCTATACATGCTATACTTTGCCTACAGTCACCAATTAAAAAAGTTTGTCTCGGTAGATAGGATTTCATTGGGTTGCATTCAAGGAAAGCTTAATCAGATTTTCATGCGTTGCAGCTTTCTGGTCACATCGGTTGTTTCCAGGGACAATTCAATAGTTCCCCACAGTTGCGATCTCGCTGTTCTGTTCCAATTATGCTTGCTCTTATGATTACCATGTTTCTCCTTGGTAAAGTTTCATTTTCTTGTTCTTTTAGAATTCTTAACCATTTAAATTGTCTACATCAAGTTTGCAATTGTTTTATGCTGATGTTATATTCATCTTCCGTGTGCTCAACTAACCAAAATGGTATGGAAGACATGTACCCAATTTTATCTGTGAATTATGTTCTCTTACATATAATGCATATAAGATATTGATATTCTTGTTCTCTTTGATATGCTGATTCAAGACAGGTTGCACAACATAGCTATGGCCAAATGATTGGTACTTGATTAGATGATTAAACTGAACTATGAAATTCTGATAGAGGGCATGCCAGTGTCCTGGGAATATGTTATTTAGATATTAGTTCTGAGATGATATTTTCTATAACTAAAATTTTTATGTTATCAATCTTTCATTGTTTTGCTATTCTGCCCCATTGGAAATTTGGTGAGTCTCCCTCTTGTACAGTTATTGCTTACGATGTATACAAATCTAAGTTTACCATCAGTGATCATCTGTTCTGCACTTTACTCTCAAAATTGTAACTTGCACTTCTGGAGTTTTTTTTTTCCCTGTAGTTTATACCATGTCAAATATTGTATCACACCACACAACATTATATCCTTTGGTATGACTTGATTAAACATGTTTGTGGGATTCACTTCTTTTGTGGGATTGACTTCTACTTTTCTTTCATTTTGACATTTTATAAAACATTCTGCTCCCTTATTCTCTGAATTAAGCCTTGCTAATGAAGGATTGAATAATATGCAGTTCCCTTTGTACTTTATTCAACTTGAGTTAAAATGCTTGTTCACTCAACCAGATGAAGAGGTATCACTACAACCTTGGCTTATTTATTTATTTGGAATGAAAAGTGTATTAGTCTCTGGATCTGAGGGCCAAATGGATGATGGTTGATTATAGATGGATTTTGATTGATATTTAACAAAATGACGCATTGGCTGTTGAGAATATTTAAAATGTTTTTTTGAAAAATAACTTAATCTATAGTTACCCCATTAATGTAAATGTGAATCCGATCCATTCATTGTTTGAAAGATGGTTTAAATAGACACTAATAAGCGAATTAACCATAATGGGGTAACTATTGTTTGAAAGATGGTACTTGAAATGTTGTTTTATCAAGAAGATTAATCTGTTTGGTCAATTCAAAATTGATAATTCTATTACCAAAGCTCAAGACATATTACATCAAAACCTAAATCAACTAAAATATTTTGCATATTACATCAAAACCTAAATCAACTAAAATATTTTGTAAAGTGTATGCTCTTAGTAGATTGAATTGGATTAGAATTATAAATTGTAGACTATGAATCATGGAACAAATATGTCACCTTGTGGTTTTTAAAGCAGAAATAGTAAGGGTTGAACCCTTAAGATGAAAACACTTCGATTTTTAAATAGCGCTGCATTAACTAATAGCTTACAGGCTACTTTACTTGAAACTGATTGAGGCAAAGGTCTCGAGTTGTATTGATGAATTTGTTATCCATAAATTCCGTTACCCTATCCAATCAGATTGGTAATTATGGTTAATTCGCATATTAATGTCTATCTAAATGGATAGAAGCCATATTTGGACTTTTGCCGGCAAAAAACATAGCTTCGGCTGAAAGATATTGGCTTATTGTATCTGAGATTATGTAAGAAAAATTTTCCAATAACTTAGCTTCTATGGAAGGACATTTTACTGGTCTTGGGGTTTTGCAGGGTTCCTCCTGTCCTTATGAATGACATTTTTGAGGTTACTGTTCGTGTGTTCATCTTCATGTAATGGAGCTTCCCTTGGAATGGAGAAAAGGACAGTAACAGTAATTTTCAAGGAACCGAGCTTGGTTGAATTTACCTAACAGGTGAATATTCAATAGTGATAAGTTGAGCCGCGGAACAAGGATTGAAGGATGGACATCCTTTAAAAAAGGACAGACAGAGGGAGAGTGAGAGAGAATATTTCAGAGGCAATTGATTGTAAATGCTTTTATTTGATATTAATTGCAACCATAATTGATGGCATGATAGTTATATAACAAGGTCACATTCAGGATGATGAGGTTTGTAGTACCATAATTGTATTAACATCTATCATAAAGAAGGAATTGAGATTACTTACACAGTTGCTTCACCTGGACTAATTTGTGCATGCTAGATCTGATTTTATTGGATAAAATTGTTTGTTTTGTTTTTATAATTATACAACAACAAATCTTATATTATTAGTTGGAGTTGACTATACTAGTGCTGTTTAAACGCAACAACATAGTATTAGCACAAATGTTTGTTATCCATATCTGTGTGAGATTTGATAGTTTTACATTGACTGATGAAGGTTTAACACAACATTTCTTGCGTTATTTAGATTTAGGACTGGCCATAAAAGTATAGGTGAGAATTTGACAAATTAAATTGCTCCCTTGAGCAACAGTATCCTAATCTTAAAATCAGGTATATTAAAATTCTTGTTAGGGGCAAAAGGTGAACATTTCATGAATAAATCTATTACATAATTCTTGGGATGGAAGGAAGATGGAGAATATAGGAGGTATTGGAGAGATTTTTATTATATAAACAACAAAATCTGTAACTCTGGAAATTGAATGTGAAAAGAGAAGTCCAAGAACACAAAGAATCAGATAATACATTTGATCGTTTAACTATATGGAAATTGAATGTGAAAAGAGAAGTCCAAGAACACAAAGAATCAGATAATACATTTGATCGTTTAACTATATATTTCTTCTTATCTTAAATCTTGAAGTTTGATAATTAATTTCATATATATTAACTATTAAAAAATTAGTTATGATAATTTGTGTTAATTTTTCTAAAATAGTAAAATACCCATTATTTATATTGAAAACTATCCCTAATAATTGCAAATATTAACGTGTACAATCAACATGGGTTCTTTGGATAAAAATATTTAACATAGGAAACAAAGGAGAATGTTTTACATTTAGGTCAAAACAAACTAATGCCTTATAAGCTAGATTTGATTAAAGTGCAGACCCGTTTGAAAATGAGATAGATGACTCTTGAATAAAATTAAGGGAGAATGATCTATTAAAAAAAATGGAGAGAAAGAATTGATGACAATTAGGTTACTAATATATTTTTTAAAAAAATTCATATTAAATTAAACACTTTCAAATTCAAGAATTCTAATAGTAAATAAGATATTTAAATTCTAAATATAACTCTTAATTAACAACTGGAATTCTTATCTACAATTGTCTAAATTAATATTTATAATTTATTTTAAAAAAATTTATTGGCAACCAAATTGTCATTAATTTTTTTTAAATTTATTTTCATTCTCTCTAAAATTAAGGTTGAGACTGCTTGCATAAATTAAATTTTGAACATTGGCAAGTTTATTTGTTTAATCATGCATGTGAATGAGCTTTGTGTAGCCTAACTCGTTTAATAAGTCAGACAGAGAGTGCGTTTGGTTTTCAGTTTATCAAAAGTCAGTTTAATATAAATTTATTTGACAAAAGTTAGTTCGGTGAAAGTCAGTTGTTGTAACAAAATTTGTGTTTAGATACATTTTTTTAAAAATCAGTTTGGCAAACTAAAAGTTATTTAAATTAATAAACATTTGTACTGTTAAAATGTACTTTTTAATATGTAATGATCAAATAGGACATTGATTTATAAAAATTTATAATTTTTATTATACAAATATAATATAGTAAAAATGTTTAAAAAATGTGAAATAAATTTAAAATAACATAAAATTTAAAATGTCAAATAATAAGAAAAAATATAAAATTTAATTTTAAAAAATTATGTAATAAATAATTAAACATTTATTAATATTGAATAGTTACATGATTAACGGTTCAATCTATAATATACAATCTAATCTCTAATAGAATCTCGAACCCTATTCATCTCTCTATCAAAAGCTACACTTAAAATTGCACTTGAAATTATTGATGAAAATGTATGCTCGTCACTATCATCGTTAGTATTAACCATATTTTCACTCTCAAAACACCTAAAGTCAGAATCAGTTGTAGATTTTCTTCTAATGAAATTATGCATAGCCATTATTACACCAACCATACGAACTTGCATCACAAATGGATAGCTAGGCATGTGTTGTAAGATTACGAATCTGTTTTTCCAAACTTCAAAAGTCCTTTCAATCATGGTTCTTAAACTTGAATGATAATAATTGAAAACCTCATTATTGTTTGCAAATTCGAATGAACGCTTGAAATCTAAGAGGTGATACCTATGAAATCTATAAGGACCTAGATATCCATGTTGCGTTGGATAGCTGGTATCTAACAAATAATATTTACCTACCAATAAAAAAGTAGAAATTATAAGATCCTAAAAAATATTAAAAAAATTATTTTAAATTAGATAAATATAAAATATACCTTGGGGTGGATGTGAAAATTTCATGTCCGACCTTGTGAGTGCATAGTCAAATAAACGGGCATCGTGGGTAGTCCCTTCCCATCCAACCATGACATAAGTGAAGCACATATCTCAATTACATGCAGCCATTATATTTTGTGTTGGAATACCTTTTCTTTTAATATATTTCCCCTGCTCTTCAACACTAACCACGCATGGGATATGTGTGCCATCAATTGCTTCTATGACATCTTTAAAGAATGGCCAATATTGCAGATCACTTAAAATTTTTAGATGAATATTTTGAAAAGTGCAATCTTTTGGTTGGATATATTCCTTTGCTAGCGTCTCACAAGCATGCAATATATTTCTAAAATGTATGTGAACAGTTTCTGCTGAATGTTGAAATCATTCTTTTCTATCCTATTCCCCACCCTATGTCCAATAATATTTAGGAACATACCGACCATTTCATGAATTCCTATTCTTCTAGTTGAATGCAAATCATGTTGCACCAGTTCATCACAAAGTTGAAGAAAAACATCTTTTTCCATGTGAAATATGTCATAACAATGCTGAAGATGCTTTTGCAAAATTTCTTGCACCCTTGCATGACCTCATTGTGAATTGGTTCTATAAGGCTCTTTCAATAAAGTTGTTGAGTAATTAGCTACTATTGCAGTAATAGCCTCAACCTCATCGTCTTCCACATGTACAAGTAGTTGTAATAAGCAAGATTGTGTACTTTTATCCATAAAAACTGTATAGCATAATTAAACAACAATTACACCATTGTTCATGACTTGACATTAAAAGCACATAAAACAAGAGTCAAATAACACAATCAGTTTTAAAACAAGTTAACAACATAAACAGTACTAGCTAGATTTTAAACATTGAGAAGGCAAGCTAGGATTAATCTAATTTGCTTTTTTGCCCAAGCACTTCAAATAGGCCACTAATGCTCTTCTATTATCCCTAAGCCCAATATACATGTCCCTTGTAGTCTTATCTAGCAAGGCCACAACACTATCCAAGAAGCGCCTCATCACAAGTAATCTCCTCGATTCTATAAAGTTTTTTTGTAACATCCACCACATTTTGATCAATTGGTTTTGTTTCACCCTCCATAGAATTAAGAATTGACTTCAGTGTTGACACCTTATCCTTTTGTATGGACACCAATCGACTCACTGAATTAACTATCACAGTTGCAAGACATTTCCCTTTCTTGTTTTGACCACTTTCACCTCTTTTTCTCTTGCTCCTCAAATTAGTACCACCATTGTATGCATGGTTCAAGTTGACTTGTCCAATTTTTGGGAGAGCTCCTCCACTAACGTTTCTTACGTCATTACTGTCTCTTGATCTTTTGGTCAAATATAATTGAGGCCTATACACATCTTGCGGGTTATCAGCCATAGGTGTCCACATGTAAGTGCCTCGTGCTGCAACTGGCTGGAACAACTGTGTCAATTCTTATACATTTAAAAGTGGTTTATGTCTGAATTTTCTGTACTCAGGATTCTCCTGTACATTTACAAGAACTGAGTTCAATATATTTATAAAATAAAGCATCAAATGTATAGCATGCCATATATAATTGTATACCTTAATCTTTTGATTCCACCACTCATTCTGTGCTGATACAATATTCTTTTCACTATCACATCCCAAGCCGATCTTTTTATTTAGCAGTTTGTCCCATATATTTCAATTTTTCCTCAAATTATCCCATTTGTTCTTCAACTGCTTTTTATCATAGCTTCTAAAGCTCAAAGCATTAAACTGTTGCATTAGCGCTTCCCAACCTTCCTTTCATAAGGTAGAGCCTTTACACTCATTTTTTTAACTTATTAAAGAGTTAATTTGATTAACAATTCAATCTCTTCAGTAGTCCACAATACTTTCTCTTTACTCATATTTACTATTGAAATATTACATTTTCAATAATTAATTAACATAAATTAGACCTATATATCAACCCACATTTAACAGGAAACAAAGCAACTATTAATTAATTAAGTAAAACCATCTAATATTCATTTATGAAACTAGATCAAAACCCATAGTTCAACATTGGTTTGAGCAAAAGAAGATTTAAAAATACACACATAAACACACAGAATTTGACATTGATTGAGTGCAAGAAATCTTAAAAACACGCACACAATCACACATTTTCAAGAGAGCGATCAAAACTCAAAATAATTCACCATTAATTGAACACAAGAAAACTTTAAAACACACACATTCTTAAGAGAAGAGATCAAAACTCAAAATTAATCGGTCATTGATTATAAGAAAACTTAGAAACATACACACAAAGCTAAACTAAATAATGCAAGAGCTGAAAACAGAATTAAGCTACCAATGTTCAAATTCACAATGTTTCGGTTCCTATTCATTGAGTATAAAAAAAGTTCAAAACATACACATAGAGCAGAACTAGCTTCTTCAATGTTCGGATTTGCAATGTTCAGATTCTCTTAGAAGCTCTCAAGTTTTGAATTAGTAATGCAAGTAGAAGAAATGGGTGAAACAGAGCAGAACTACCTTCAATGAAAAAAAAATAGAGCATAACCTAATCTAGAGAAAAAAATCATAAGACCATTGATCAAAGACATAGGCCATATATTCATCCAAAATAAAGGACCACCATTTCTGGATCTAGCAAAGAATGGTTAGACGATATCATACCTTTAGATGGAAGAGAAGATCAAAAAGGAGGTTAGAGTGTCCAAGTTCAGTTCTGAGCTCCGAGTTTAGTTCAATAGGTCCCAGGTGTTTTCATTTCTGTCAGCTTCACAATGTCATCCAAGAGCCAAACCAAGCTCAATTCGTGAGCTACAAATGAAAAAATGGCCATTAGAATGGCGGGGAAGGACGACGAAATGAGATCACAAGCTCGGGGAAGGAAGAATGGATGAAGTTAGATATGTGACTAGATGGCAGGGGAGAGACGGAGGAGAGAAGGATGAGAGTCACTGAAGATATGGAGGAGAGACGGTGGACTAACGACAAAGCAAGGAGGATGAGACGAGTAACACACAGAGAAGAGAGAACGAAGATGGGTTCTAAAACATGCACATGAGCTCGAGCAAGAGGAAAAGAAAAACATGAGGGAAGAGGTATCATGGTCATTTTAAAATAATAGGCATCATTAATAATGCATCTTCCTTCAACTAATTTTTCAAAAGCTACTCATATGAGCTTTTCAAATTTCTTCATTTCAACCCATTTAAAAAGCACATCTGAGAAGTTAGTTTTATATCATAAATAATTTTTAAATAATATTTAACTTCTTCAAAGTGAAAAGTAATCTTTTAAATGTAAAAAGTGAAGAAGCCAAATGCACCCAAATTATACTTGAGGCATACTTTTGGGCCAAATATTTTGGGCCGCACTGACGAACAATAACTCTACACTACACTGCCCAATCTGAAAAGGCAAATGTGGAGAAAAAAAGAAAAAGGGGAGTCTCTAGGCGGGTTTCTTCGACGTTCTCACCCAATCCCCAATCGAACTCTCGTCTCGTCTCTTGCACAATTTTTCAATCCAAGAAATTGCTGCTTGGAGATTCCGTTTTCTGTTTAATAGCTTTCTAAAGATTTCAATTGTGTTCTGCTCTGAGATCTAACTCCGGATTATTTTCCATTTCTTCATGCACAAAGTATCCAGATTTTCACTCTGATCCATCGCAAGCTGGATCTTTCGCCCTTGTAGATCGGAATCTGGTCGCCGGCCATGTCTTGTTTAGCCCTTTCTTTACAAATTTCCAACGGATCCGACATCCTGCTCCAGACCCGCGAGTGGTTCCCACCTGCTCGAGCCCTTGGAGCCCTCTCTGCTTTCCGCCAAACCCGTCGCGCCTTGGCTTCTAACAAGAATTCCCAACCCTTCGGTGATGACGCCTACGCCGCCGAGTCCATCGGTGACGATCCGCTCGCTGCCTCCAGTGGTCAAGTTATTGTCGGCGTAGAAAGTCGTTACCGCGTCGTATATCGGTTAGTGAATGGAATTTATGTGCTTGGTGTAACTGTTGCCGATCACGACAATACAGTAAACGTATTTGAGTGTATAAATATTGTGAACCAAGCTGTTAGTGTCATCGTTACTGCTTGCCGTGGTGTGGATGTTACTCCCGAAAAACTTAGTAAGAAGTATGCGGAGGTCTACATGGCTTTGGATATTGTTCTTAGGGGCGTCAGTAACATCCGACTTGCTGCAATGCTGGCGTCGTTGCACGGTGATAGCATTGCGAAGATGGTTCACTCGGCGATTGACTCCGAGAACAAGATCCGCGGTGCTGATACTTGGACTGCTGCTGAGGTGCATTCGATCGAGCAGCAAACGGGCATTGATGCGTTCTCCAAAGCTCGGTTTGAGTTACCGCCTGAGACACTTGCAGCTGGAGATGAAGTCGCTGCTACCCTTGCTCCAGTGGCAAGTGAGCAGCAGGATGAGCAGCAGCAGACGAAGCCAGAAGAATCGCCCACGGAAAATGATCCATTTGCTGCAAGCGATGCGATCAATAAACCCCCAGAGCTGGTGGGTGGCTTTAAGAAGACTAAGGATCCTTCAGCTACTGATTTGACGACAGCATTGGCGGGGCTTGAGGTCACGACATTGCCTCCTCCAGAGGCGACCCAGTCTACCCATATCAATGTGGAGGGATTTGAAGGAAATTATGGTGGGGTCGAATTTAGCAATGAACAAGCAACTCTAGGAGAAGCTTTTGAATCCTTCAGCGACGCTTGGGGAGGTGGGCTTGATCCATCAGAGTTCGTTGGCACGAAGAGGGCTCCAAAACCCCAAGGGCTTGGTGGACTTGAATTGTTACAGACCGGACCAGATGTTGCCGTTAAAGCACCAGCGGAAGGTGGAGCAGCAGGCAATCTTGAAAATTTATTGGTAAAGAAAACGGAAATGAAGGGTCCTGAGATGTATATCTCTGAACAGATTAGTGCAGAGTTCAGAGAGTCATTACTTGCAAGGGTAGGATTAATGGGTGTTGTATACCTTAGAACTTTGCCTCCTAAAACTTCTGGTGATAAGGAAACTGAATTCTCATTTCGAGTTGAGGGGACAAGTGCAGTTAAAAGATTTGTTATACAAAATTCTCGTGTCAGCTCCCTTGGCAATGGTTTGTTTCATGTGAGGACTGCAGCCTCAGATGAGCCTCTTCCAATAATCAAGTACAGTTTGCTGCCCAGGTTGACGCCATTGCCTTTGAGGGTTCGACTTTTAAAACGCCATACTGGTAGTTTACTTTCTGTGATGATACAATATGCTTCAAACCCTAATTTGCTCGCACCCATGAGAGATGTCACATTCATTCTGAAATTACCAGTTGACCCAACATTGTTGAAAGTTTCACCAAAGGCTGTGTTGAATAGGTCTGAAAAAGAAGTTAAATGGCATGTGCAAGAGATTCCACTCAAAGGTACTCCTGGTCGGTTGAGAGCAAGGATGCCAGTAGACTCAACTGAAGAGGATGAAGAAATTGAGGTGGTTGGCTATGTGAAATTTTCCGTTGAAGGAATGCAGTCATTATCTGGGGTTTGTCTAAGACCTGCTTCTGAGGGTAAGACAGATTTTTATGAGGTTAAACACAGATTTGAGAATGGAATTTATATGTGCAACTGATTTGTCATCACGTAGGTAATAGCTAATTGGCTTTTCATTGTTGGTGAACGAGGGTATATTTTTATTTTTTGGGTGTAACATTCTTTGATATCAATCTTGTAACTTGAACTCTGAGTTATGTAAAACTTTTTTTTTTTGTGTTGTGGTCTTGAATTCATAATTTCATGTCAATGGATAGTGCGATTGCTTTTTCTGAGAATTTATTCTTGATATTTACTGGAATGTACACACAATTTATTGCTAGTGAAAAACATGTCTCTAGAGATAAAAAGGATCTAGTAAACGCTTGAACTTCAATGAAGATTGAAGTGTTATATCCTGTTTGATACTTCCATGCTTTTAGGACACATTCACTAGCAGCTTTTGAGTGTCTGTGATCCATAACTTTTTATTATATGTTTCAAGAGAACACCAGTCAAGGATTTGGCTTTTTTCTAAATCAAGAAATTACGACTGTGTCAAGACTGGTGTACCCGTGTCATCAAAAGCTGCTCATGCAGCCTCACCAGGTTCAAGCCAGGTGGATTTCTTAGGCTTGCGCATGGGGCAGCCTGATAAAAGAAGGATGACGAAGAGTTGATGCAGTCCCTTCATGATGAAGCCTTCCATGACCACAGTCCATGCCGGGCGTGTCCACTGGTGGTGCACATTGTGGGCCCCATATTTCGGCATGTGAATAGTTGATGAAATTCATTCCTTCAGTAGCTCATTTCCACCTCAGAGTTGTCAGACTTACCCAGTTTCGCAGCCCCTCAGTTCACAGCCTTCCTCCTATCAATTCTCATCAGGTTTGTGCTCGGCTTCTCTGTCTGTTCTTTGTTTTTACCTACATCTCTTTTTCTTCATCTCAATCATGTTGTCTCTTTCTATTTTCTGTTGTCTGCTTTTTTGGTTGATTTTGTCTGCTTCTATTTCTTCTGTTTCTCTCGTGTTTGTTTGGTTTTTAGTTTGGCAAGTCCATTTGCTAAAAGTTAATTTGTCAGAAAGTCTATTTGTTAGAAGTTCATTTATGTTTGGATATATTTTTTCTTAAATCAGTTCGGTAAATTGAATCTACAAGTGGGAATCTACCGTAATTGGCTTTAACCCACATTTCATAAGTAAAAAGCTAACCTTGGCTGTGTTTGCAAAATGAACTTTTAAATCCGCATAATAAATACCCAAACACAAGTTGTTTTCAGATCAGATGATGTGCTACTAGGACTTTTTGAATGTCAAAGGCCCTATCCAAACATATCCTCCTCTGATTAATCTGATAGCAAAGAACTGATGCTCTGCTCCATCACATTGTAATATATGCTTGATACATTTCTATTTCAATTTTCAACCAGGATAGGAGTTCATGTTAGTTTAAGTATGAGCTAAGGTTTGTAGGGCCTGTTTGATTTCTGTTCTCATTTTTTATTTTTAAAAACTGTTTTGTAATATAGTTTTTAAAATTATTTTTAAAACAAAATAAAACGAAAATTCATTTGATTATATCAATTAGAAAATAGTTTTAAAATTAAAAAATGGATTGATAGTGATGGTTATAGGCAGTTAAAAACAAGAAAAATAAAAATTTTTCTTGTTTTTTAAAACAAAAAATAAAAAAAGTTTTGAAAACAATTAAATAAAAAGCAATTATCCAAACAGATTTTTAAATTTGTTTTCAAAAATGGAAACAGATTTTAAAAACAGAAAACAAACAGCCCTTAATTTTCTTTCCTTCTTTTTCACATCCATTAAAAGCACAGGCTTCTTATGCATATGAATTGTTGCAACTGCTATTTATTCTTATTTTAGATTTCTGTGATCATCTGCGCCATAAATCAATGTTGCATTGCATCTTGCTCATCTGTCACTGTGAAGCAGGTGATGCATGAAACATGATGCATCCACCGAAGCAGCATATTACGTGTTAAGCAAAAATGGAGTTATAGCCCTTGGTCCTGTCTGGAACACGCTACATGTCAATAGGTATGCTATCATAACGTGATAACGATAAGGAATGCATTAGGATTTTAATCATTTCTGAAGCCAAGTGAGACAAGATCACAGCTAGAAGCATTGACACTGTTGAGTGGGAAAGTGCCAGTTTAGTGTCTTGATATTTAAAATGTCGTAACCAACATTAATCCCATCTTCAGAAGGTAACGCAGAGTTGGGGGATTCTGAACCATCATCACCCTTCCCCTCATCATTTATTTCTTGCGACTAAAAGAGAACAGCAGAGGCTGTTAAGTTGTATGACTCTTAGGGCGTCCACGTTTGTGCTCCCAGCACAAGTAAGTGTGAAGGAAAATCCAAATTTTCCTTATTAGAGTGTTACTATCCTCTTATGAAATGTTATCTAGGACTTGAAATTGGTAAATTTGTCTGCATCTAAACCTGGAACTTGCTTGAGAATTGCAGCCGAGTTCAGGGATTATTCAGATTCTTATTCTTATTCTAATGAGTTTATGATTGGCTTTGGAAATGAGAAGGAAAAAGAGTGACGCTAAGAGTGGATTCGTTGAACAAGAATTGGTTTGTTGAGTCACGTCACATATTGAGAGGTTAACTTTAGTGCAAAATATTTAGCTGTTTTTGCCCACTCTTGCGTGGACGTATCGTGAGTTTAGTTTATTTTACCCCTTATGAGCGAACACTAACTTCTAGTGCCACCCAATACTTGCACTTCCTTCGCCTTGGTCCCTTGTGTAGAGCACTTCCTAAAAAGAATTGATGGTTCTACATATACAAGTCACATGATGATTCATTAATTAATTGTTTTCATTGTTGCGCCCGCTATAATTTACTAGGAAAAGATTTGAAGCCTGATTAAGTGTTTCTTTAAATTCTTAAAATAGGGATAAAGTAGGGAAGAAGTCATTTTCAAACAGTCAGCCACGTCTCTCTGTGAGATGGTCAGGGGTAACTATTATATTAAGATTCCCTTTTGCTTTTCAAGGAACTGAAAATTATACGGCATTGAACCTCCAAGTTTTAGCCCCAATCATAATTAAAATTAAAATGTATAAAAAAGTTCATATATAAAACTTAAAAAGAGTAATATTTAAAGAAGGAACATTTATATATAAATCACACTTAATCTTAACAAAATATAGTTATTAAAGCACAATTATGATACTGTTATTTTCTCCTTGTTTTTTTTTCCTTTTTAACTTAAATATATTGTTTCGAACTCAGCAATAGGAAAAGAAATATAAAAATTCAACCCGATTTGATCCTATCCATAATTTTGACCGGAACAAAAGGGGGATTGGCTCGCCAGTTTACTGGTCTTACCAACTAATCAAGGTTGAGTTTAAATAAGATGGTTTTTTCTGACATGCCAAATTTATCTTCAAAGATCAATTCCGTTCATTTTCTTAATTTCATTCTCATTTTTCCCCTATTCTTATATCATAATGCTTCCAAAATATCAGACGAGGTCCTGTATCTATTTCATGCTCCACAAATGTTCGTTTCTTGTGATGCCTAAGTTCTAGACAGGAAAATCTTATTAGTTTGATCGAAAAATTGAAGAATTGATTTCTTCACCAATATGGTTTTACAATAAACATAATTTTTTTTTGGGGATAAATAAACATCAAAATTTGATTAATCAGATAGCTTTACATTATAGAGGAAGACTATCCTTCTTAAAAAAATAATATATATATATATATATAGATATATACATATATATTGGGGAAGACTATAGGCGTACAATCAGTCGTTTTTTTTTTTTCCTTTTTCTTAAGAAGTTTATCAACTAAATCATTGAATTAGGGGAATATGTATTATTGCATTAAAATTAATCATCTTTATCTCTTATTTGACGTAAGCAATCATTAAGACAAGTCCAGGAATAGTTGTATCTATTCCTAACGCACACTTACAATACAATTATGTAGAAGGTAAATTAAAGGAGTCTGTTTTACTATTCTGTCCTTTAAGAATGTAATTATTGTTAATTTCGTTTGTTATTATTGAAAACACTATACAAGGTAAGGTTAAACGTTATGCCCTCAAGAATTTATCTGTTTTTCAGGTAATTATTAAGCGAATGCTTCTCTAAGTCTAAAACAGTCCCAATTCCTAAAGTAATCATTGTTGGGATTTTTTTTTTTTTTTTGCTGTGATTGTTAGATTTTAATTACACCGGAAAAGTTGCAATTATTCACTGTAATTTGATTCTGAAATTAATTTTCATCCAGATCATGTGCTGAAATTTAAATTTATAACTCTAATTTTTTTCAATATATATATATATATATATGTATGTATGTATCCCCTATACAACCTTGAATGAAAAAATATAAAATTATCCTCATGAGTTATACTTGTATGGAAAAACACTTAGGTAGGCTGGTGTATCACATCATTTGTGCTCTATCTAACTAAAATGTCCCAAGTAATGTAAATAAAATTTTGTATGGCCTTTTTTAAATTGATTTTATTTTTATAACATAATGTACATTTAATTTTTTTGCATTTTCTCTCTGTATTACCTTTAACATGAGAATCAATTTGTATTTAATATTATATAAATGTCATATTTTTATTAGATAAAACACAAATGACATGGCGCACCTAATTTACCTAAGTATTTCTTTACCTATATGTAATGTAACCTTTTTTATTGTGCAGAGGTATTCTCCTATCGGACGAAATCTTGTTCGAGATTTTGCTAGACACTAAATTTAGGTACTTCTTCTAATATTAGTGAGGATTCAAACCTTAATTAATTATGTTGAGAGAGACTAGCAACTTTTGTTAAAAAAAACTCTCATTGGTTATGTGATGTGAGTCATGTAACTTTTAAAGAAAATAATTGTACACACTCTGCCAATTACAATTTATCATCGCAACTTACCTATCATGGCTAAATTGTTATGATATATTAAAAAAAAGAATAAAAGAGTAAAAATACTTATAAAGTGATCAGTCACAGACACCCAATATCCTAAAGTGAGAAAAGAGGTAAAAATATCCATAACGTTATATAGATGGGTGCAAACGTAATCAGACCATTAACTTTGACCTAACGCTGTTAACTTTAATCGTTAAATGCTGATTATGCATGTCACATGTCAATTTTTGCTGACGTGAATTAATAAAGGGGCAAAAATATTTATGAAGTTGTCAGCCAGAATCAAAATACCTACGAAATTGTAAACCAAGAGTAAAAATACTCACAACGTTATCAAAGTTAGTGTAAAAGTATTAATCCATCTAATCCCTTAAATGTTGATCGTTTAACTGACACTTAAGCAGAAGTTGATTATTTTTTAATGATGCAGACAAAAAAATTTCCAAATGAATTTTTATGGATGTTGATCAATCATCGTATGAGTACCTATAATGTTATTTTAGTAGGTGCAATAGTGACCAATCCGTCAAAATCAATGTCACATTGTTTTTTTTTTCTATTACCACGTATCTCGCTTCCTTTATTTCTCCCTCTCTGCTCATTTTTCTTATCTATAAAATTTGAGATTCAACATAATGAGATAGATTGTACAAAATTGAAGATCGAGACTGAACACATATAGCTTAAAATATTATCACAACCTTAAGCAATTACATTTATAATTGGTTCATAATTTTTAAATGGCTTTCCCCATTACTATAAAGAAACAAGCAATTTAACTTGATATTCAATCAAAATGATATTTTTCACATGATAGTCATACAATAATCAATTATCCTTCAAATAATTTCGTCTAGAAATATTTTTTATCCATATTAACAAAAAAAATGATCAACTTTTACTTAAGTGTTAGCTAAACGGTCAACATTTAAAGGATTGAATGGATCAATACTTTTGCACAAACTCTAATTCGTTATGGATATTTTTGCTCCTAGCCTATAACTTCGTGAATTTTTTTGCTCCTGGCCGACGATTTCATGAATATTTTTGTTTCTTTATTAGTTCACATCAGCAAATACTGACACATAACATGCACAGTCAGTATTTAACTATTAAAGTTAATGGCATTAATTCAAAATTAACGGTCTTATCATTTTTGCACTTATTCATGTAATGTTGTGAATATTTTTACCTTTTGCTTCACTTTAGGATATTAGGTGCCCGTGGCTGACCATTTTATGAGTATTTTTGCCCCTTTATCCTTAAACAAATTAAGAAGTCTACATATTAAAAACATTTATATCCCTTATCATCTTAAACTATTGGTCATAACTTGATTAAATATATATATATATATATATATTAGTCTAACAATTGTTTTATTCTTCTCTCTTACTTTTTTATATAATAATATGGTTGGATTAAATTTGAACATTATCAAACTAAATGGTCATAATTCCTTTTACAAGTACAACTGCTTGTTAGTTTCCTTGTTCTCTACTAAAATTTTTCCATTGTTGTTTTGGTTTTGGATCATTCTGATTAAATTTTAATAGTTCCAACTAATTTATTATTTTTTAATAATTTAATTTAATTTCAAATTATCTAAATTTCGTTTGATGATCGTTATTCTTCCTATCAAACTATACTTTTAAACTTCATCTTGCATTCTTTTAGTAGGTGATGCAAGACTTGAAAACATACAGCAGTGTCAACAATCATAATCTCAGCCCTTGTCATTCTCGACAAGCCATTATGAATAGTTCCAAGAATTATTAAAAATAAAAATCTTATTCATTTGCAAAAAGGGCAATATATTACCAAGCGCTTACTTTGCCATCAGTTTAACTAGAATTTGATTTTTTTTCTTAAAGAAAAAGTAGCCAGTAATTATATTTAGAGTGAAATGCTCTAACTTTTCCTCTCTTTTATCTTAATTACATATACCTCCATTTTATTTTTAAACCCATATGAACTTGTTCTAATATAAATAGTTATAAAACACAAATATCTTCCCTATTTAATATTTCATTTCCATCTATCCAGACATTAGTTGATTATTAAGCTACATATGTTAAATCAAAATACCCCTTTTTAAAATATAAATATTATCTAAAAATCATTCAAATTGCCCAAAAAAAATCAATGCATATATAGTATAATTTTATTTTTTATTTATATTTTAAACTTTTTAGCTATACAAATGTATTTATTTGGTAATATTTTCTAAAATTTAACTATATAAATTGGCCAAAATAATATTCAAAAACGAAATTTAAAAATTTAAATTAAATAAGGATTTAATATAATAAATTACTCAATATAATTTATATTTATTTTTTTAAATTTTATTAATTTTAAATTATTTATTTAAATATTGAAAAATTATTTAATCTTTTTAAAATTGGGGGAGAGAGAAGCAAATTAGATTATAAGTGAGTATTTTAGAATCTTTAATGAAATATTCCTAACAATGTTAACTAAAGTGTAGGGTTTGAAAATAGAAGAGAGATTTTGCAATTTTAAGTAAAATGGAAAAGTCATTGTATTTTACCCTTATATTTATACTAAAATACTTT